ACAGATCGTAAATGAACCGCCATCCAGCCGTGAACGTTTGTCAAGCTTTCAAGACGGATGCCCGCGACGCTGAGGCGAGAGACGCATTTCAAAGACCTCCCGCCCTTCATCCATGAAGCTCTTCCAAACTGTCAGACACAATGCGCGCGGTGCTAAACCGAATGCCACATTTTGAAAACGAACCAGCCTCCATCCGCGAAGCCCCTGCGCACTCTTACGACGAATGCGCGCGGCGTAAAGGCGAGAGCCACGTTTTGAAATGGAGCCGTCCTCCATCCGCAAAACTCTTGCCAACGTTTATGCGCGACCCACATTTTGAAATGCCCACCATCAATTCGTGAACCTGCTGCACAATCACAAGACGAACGTGCACGGCACTGAGGCGAGAACCAAATATCGAAAAAGAACCGCCATCCATCCGTGAAGCTCTCGCAAAAGTTTAAAACAACCGCGCGCGGCGCTGAGGCGAAGGCCACATACTGAAATGCGTCCGCCCTCCGTCCGTGAAGCTCTCGCACAATGCTAGCTTCAAGGTCATATGTGGTGAGCAAGCCTGAGGCGAAACACACGGCCCGCTCTACTGACACGTCTCGGGGCGCGGCAGGGAGGAGCTATCCATTCGAGCACAGGATGGAGGAAGGGAGGGAGGGAAGGAGGGAGGAGGGGGAGGGCGGGGGGAAGGGGGGGATGGAGGGGAGGGATCAGAGGAGGGAGGAAGGGAGGAAGGAAGGGAGGGAGGACGGGAGGGAGGGAGGATGGAGGGGGGGAGAGGGAGGAGGGGACGAAGGAAGAAGGGAGGAGAGAGGGGAGAGGGGAAGGAGGGGGGGAGGAGAGAGAGGGAGGGGGAGGGAAGGGGAGAGGGGAGGAGACGAGGGGGAGGGAGGGGAGAGGGAGGGAGGGAGGGGAGTGGAGGGGAGTGGAGGAGGAGGACTCCAAGGCTCAGGACCGCGCGGGGGTCGCGGGCGCGGCGCAGGTCCTCGCCCCTCTCGCTCGCGGTCGGCCGTCCCACTGTTTTCATCTCCTTTCCTGGGTTTGCACTGGTCCTTCTCCTCCTCCTCCTCCTCCTCCTCCTCAATCCTCCTCCTCCTCCTCCTCCTCCTCCCCCTCCTCCTCCTCCTCCTCATCATCATCATCATCATCATCATCATCATCATCCTCATCCTCTTCCTCTTCCTCTTCCTCTTGCTCTTCCTCCTCTTCCTCCTGCTCCTCCTCCTGTTCCTCCTCCTCCTCCTCCTCCTCCTCCCTCTCCTCGGTCCCCGATCGTCGATCCTCGCTCGCCGCTGCGGGTGCGGCCGTGAGTGGCGCCTGGGAGTGGCATCTTGCATGGTCTGTCGGCTCACGTCCCCACTAAGATTACCGCTTGGGCTGTTAAGGGGGATGCGGGCAAGTTCGTGTCGTGCCGTTCCCGGCGTTGGTTCCTGACGCCACGGGGATCGTTCAACATTGAACGATCGGCCGCTTCCGAAACGTAAGATCGTTCAACATCGGCCGATACTGGGTCGCCAACGGCGTTCAGCGTCGAACGTCGGGGGCGGGGTCGCCGCCAGTCGACACGAGGGAAAAGATATTGTAGGGAGGTTCGAAGTTAGAAGTGGATGCTAAGATGGGTGATATCTGGCCTGGACCAGCTTATGCGTGGGTTGTGAATGTTTGAAGTAGTGTAGGGTGATGAGACGACTCCCAACGCTTTCCAGCAGCCGCGCCCTGACCGAGAACGTTGTGGGACTCTCCGGATCGTCCCGAACAGCCGCCGGGATCTGATTCCTGACCCGGAGGCCAGAAACCCTCGCGTCGTGAACAACGTCAAGGGCGGACAATGTCTGATAACTGTCTGCCCCTGGGGGCGCAGGCAAATCCCCAGGACCAGCAGATGCGGCTCGGGATGAAGAGCCCGCCCTGGGCCTGGGGCGATCGGGCCCCAGCAGGTGACAACCTGGTCCAGGAAAGGCGGCCGGGCCCGCTCGGGGCGCCACCCGTGAACTTCCATGTTGAACAATAAATGCGTACATGCTTGCATACCTGCATACATACATTCATTCATTCATACATACATAGACACATACATACATACACATACGTACATGCATACACACAGCATTACATACTTTCGTACATACATACGTTCATGCATACATCCATCCCTGTATGCATATATACATGCATGCATGCATACATCCGTACACACATGCATGCAACTATACAGGCACACGTACATACATGCATACACACATGCATGCATCTATATGCACATATATATATATATATATATATATATATATATATACGTGCGCGCAAATTCACATTTACATAACTGCACACAGGCATGCATACATACAGACATACATGCACTCATACCTACACATGCGTACATGCATCATACAGCCATACGCATGCATGCACATGCACGCAGGCACACAGAGTTTATATACATATCTGCATACATACATACGTATATGGATGCATCCCTGCACCCATACAGACATACACATATACAGCACTATACACATACCTGCAGGCATACATACACGCATACACACATGCCTCCATACATATATATATATATATATATGTACATGTATACATATATACATATATATGTATGTGTATACATATATATACATATATATATAGATACATACACGAATGTACACATTCATACATGCATGCGTACGTACATACATGCATGTTTACACGCATGCATGCACACCGTCATGCATGCGTGTATGGCACACGCATCATATATATATATATCCGTATATGCATACATCCATGCATACATGCGTATATGCATACACACATACTTACACGCAGACTCAGACATAAACATCTATACATGTGTACATATACGAATATGTACATGCATACAAACATACTGCATGATACATACGTGCACACATATCCATGCACACACTTACATGTATGCATGCATACATACAAACATGCATGCACACATACATAATACATGCGTACACGCGTACACGTATCCATACATCCATACAATAATACACGCATGCATACATACATCAAGCCATACATATCAATATATATATATATATATAGTTTCCAGCATTCTGGTGAAACTGGAGTCGCTGCGGACGTGGCGAAATGGGATCCCTCAGCGAGAGGCGCCGGCAGGAGCGAGAACGCCGAGAGGGCTCGAGGCCACTTGCTCGCTCCCGCTTGGCTCTGGCGAGCCCCCCAAGGTGTGCGAGGAGCCGGCCGTGAACCGTGAGGGCGCAGATCCGCCCGTCGATCACCGAGGCCGCGAAACCCCCGCCATCGTCGAGCTGATCTTATCTCCGGGCGAACTGATGACACGAGTGATGGGCCCATGTTCCACCACAACTACCATAGGTAGGAGAGGGAGGAGGAGGAGGAGGAGGAGGAGGACGAGGAGGACCGTCCCATCCTCCCTTCTCCCCCGTCCTACCTATGGCAGCGGTGGTGGAAAATTGGCCCGTCAACGAGAGGCGTCTGTTTGAACGGGGCGTGCTTAGCAGATAAGATGCGCAGTCACGCAAGCGACTTTGCAAATCAAGACGTACCGCGACACTGGGAGACCTGAATCAGCAGGCAGATCCAGATGGCGACCTTGTGCCACGACCTCCTACAATCAGTAGAGCAGCAGCGGGATGTTGACAACAGAGCGTCCTCCTGCGAGCGCCTACGAGCTACATGCACCTACCCGAAGCAGGATCAGCCCCTAGGCGAGAAGGAGCTCGAGGGGTGGGGACTGCATTTACAACATGACGCCACGCCGCCACAATATACAACGGCTCCACGGCACCACGGCACCCCGGGCCGGGCGTCGATGCCCTCACGTGTGGCCAGTAGTCTCCCCGGGCGCGCGGCACTTGGAGCGTCCGCGGGGGGGGGCCGCCGAGCCAATCGTTTTGCTCGCAGACGCCCTGCTGCCCCGCAGCTGGCGCGTGCCGTGCAGCTCGGGCACGGACGGGCCGAGGGAAACGGAAACGGCAGGGCACCGAGGAGAACCCGACCGGACCAGAGCGGGGGAAGCGCCACCTTTGATCCACGGGGCTCGTTGGGCGGATGGCGAGGCCAGCTCCGAGGAAGAGAGGGCCAGCGATGGGGGAGCGGGAGGGCTACGAGGAGGAGCAGAGGGTAAGCGCACCGGCGAGGAGGACAAGAGTAAGGAGGACGAGCACGAGGAGGACGAAAGGGGAGGAGGAAGAAGAGGATGAGGAGTACGACGACGATGACGACAAGGACGACGAGGAGCAGGAGGACGGCAGAGTGGAGGGTGAGGAGGGAAAGGGGCACGCGGGAGGAGAAGGACGTTGGAGAAGTGGGGGTCCATGAGACCTGTCGGGGCTACCCTGGGGGCTAGTGGGATCGCCTGTGGCCTTCAATGGGCGGCGGGCCTGGGAGGGAAGTGAGCAGGGGCCTGCCTTCTCAGGAGGCGCGGAGGTCCCCCAGCCTTCTGAAAGCTGTCTATTAGCCTTCCCCGAAGACACCAAACATTTCTCAGAAGGCCGCGGCGGGGGGGCTTCTGAGAAGCCCCGCTGCCTTCTGAGAGGGCCTTTAGCTTCTCACTTCCCCCCCTCGCTCGCCGCCGATTCAAGCCTCTCCGGGGCATATCAAGGGCCTCCTGGGTTCGACTGGGATGCTTCTGCGGTTTTCTTGGACTGTCTGGGCGTCCCCGAGGGATCTTTGGGAGCTCTCTCGGGCCGTCTTCGGGCCACCTGGGGCCGTCTTGGGGCTGTCTTGAAGCGTCCAGGGGCCTCTCTCGTCGCTCTTTTTGTTCCCCCACGATTGCTGCGCTGCACAAGATGTGCGGTTTTACTCGAATCCAGCGCTCGAGCTAGACCTACTCTTCCTAAAGCCAACGGGTGATCTGCAAGCGACGCCCACTCCGCCCAACCGTAAGCGTCAAAACTCTCTCCACTCCAGGATTCCCCTCCCCCCTCCCCCGCATCGTGGGATGCAGGCGCGCGGCGCGCACTAATGTGGACACGCTTGGCCGCGAAGCCCCACGCTCACTCGTCACTGATGACGCCGACGATGTCCTCGTCCCTGTAGATGACGTACTCCTCGTCCTCGAGCTTCACTTCGGTGCCACCATACCTTGGGATGATGACGGTGTCGCCGACCTTTGTGCCCATCGGCAGGATTTCCCCCTTGGGGCTCCTGCGGCCAGGGCCAACCGCCAAGACCTTGCCCTGGTTGACCTCCTGCTTGGCAGAGTCCGGCAACAAAATCCCGCCAGCTGACTTGAGATCGGCCTTCAGCTTCTGCACCAGAATGCGGTCGGCCAAGGGCACGAAGCGCTTGAATGCGGCAGCCATGGTTGCGGCGAAGGTCGAGCGCCACAATGGGGGTCGGCAAACAAAAATGGCGCCAGCGCCGAGAGCCAAGACGGCTAGAGCTTGAGCCAAAATGGCTACCGAGGCACCTTTCGGGCCATCTTCGGGCTACCACGGGCGCTCGCGGGGTCTTCTGGGGTGTCTTTCGGGGCTTTCATGTGCTATTTCGGAGCCCTCCGGCAACGATTCCAATCTGATGCTATTTTTTGGTAACTATCAGATAATCGATCGACTCACATCTTCACGTCAGCGGACGCACACCACCCGCCGAAACTCTACGATTGCAAGCCTGTCTAATCGCTCTCATCAGTGTTCACTGCTGTCAGCAATGCACTACCACGTGGCCATTGCCTGGTGTCAGTGTATCAGTCCCGATAGCTGTTGTCGGTGTTTGTCCCGATTGCGATCCGCTTGCCAATCAAACCTTCTTGCCTTACTTGCCCTTGGCGCTGACCTCCACAGTGATGTTGTCCCTCGTGGCGCGCGAGTAGGGGCAGAATTCATGGGCGAGGTCAGCGCACTTCTGTGCTGTGGCATCATCGACGCCCGCGATCTCGACATCGAGTTTCACAGCCAAGCCCACACGCAAAGGCACCCCTGCGGTCATCTCTTCGGAAACAACGCCCAGGCTGGTGGCAGCTTGAACTGTGCTATCACCGATTTTGATGCCGTTCTTCTCAGCACACAAGCGCAAGGCGCCGTTGAAGCACGCTGCGTACCCAAGAGAGAAGAGCTCCTCTGGGTTGGTGCCGCCGCCCTTGCCGCCGTGCGCTGGGTGCTTCTCGAGCTTCAAGCTCAAGTTACCGTGGTGCTCACCGAATGACTTCACGTTACCCTCGCGGGTGCCAGCATCCGCCTCACCGTGGGCCGTGAAGATGACCTTCTTGAGAGGTGCTGCTGCAAAGCTGCGAGCAGCAACTGGGGCGACCGTGGTCTTCTGCACCAGAGCGCGGCGAAGGGCTGGGCTGAACATATGTTCAACCGGACTGGATGAAAAACCTACTCTGGGTCAAGCAAAATCTGAAACTGGAACGGCTTGAGCCAAAATGTCTTCGGAGCGACACCAAGGCGATGTGGGCTTGGAGCCCCATCCGAAGCGGTTGTTCGAGGACGCCTCGAGCGAACCAACAATGTTTGAGAAACTACTCTTGACATGAACAGGATGCGCGGGAAATCGAGGAGCTGCGCAAGAACTTTCAACAACATGGCCATGAACTGCAGCGAAACCACCAGAAGTTCACAAAGGATAGTGGGTAGAGTTCGCGACCCGCGCCAGCTTGGTGCACTGAACTAGCGTGGGCGGTAAACTGCTCCTGGTACTGGTCCTGATCCTGCTGCTGCTACTTATCGTCCTCCTGCGCCTCCTTGACATCGTCGTCCTCCAAGTCCTCTGCAAACAAATAGAGTTCACTACCCGAACCAGTTCAGACGCTGCGCTGAAGCGGCGCAGATAGAAACGTGCTCCTGATATTTGCCCTGATCCTGCAGTTATCACTCGTCACCGTCGTCGTCCCAGAACGCCCCCACTATATGCAGTGAATAAGAGGCAACAAACCTTGATTTTGTCAGCCGAGACCAATATTCATAAGCTGCTTGAATCGGGCCTCCGGCCGAAGGCAAACGTACAGGACACCCATGTTCGTTACAATGGCTAGCAGGTTTCCTAACGCAGGTGAGCCCCCAGAGCATTGGATAACACACTGGCTTCTCATACTGGGTTGTCATATTTCCGAACACCTGTGCGAAGTCAATTTGTACTTTCAGGCTGACCACATGGACAGGGGTCCACGTTGAGGGTCAACGCATAATTGACGAGCAACGGCTTAGCGTGGAGATATTCCGCGTTAGGGGGTTGACGTGTTCACGTGCCCCAGGATGCTCTTAACGTGACCCTTCCACCTTAAAGCCGAACAGCCCTATTCTGGTACATGTCAAAAGATCAACGTAGAAACTTCACGCAGAAACTTCCTGAAAGAATTTGCTGGGTGCGAATTAGGGAATAGCCCTGAACCATTTCATCCCTGCACCCTCCCGGTTGGTAAATGGTTCCCTCCTGGAATACAGCAGCATCAATTGCTCCGCTCTTCGAGTCTGAGCGCGCTTCCCATCATCCGCCAGCGAGGTCCAGGGCGGGATCCGTACCCCCTACTGGAGGGATCCGTACCCCCCTGGGTTTGCGCAAGCTGATCCAAGACTTCAGCTTGACGGTTTCCCCAGCTCTTGATCCACTGCATGCCCCTCCGCTTCCCTGATCAAGGCAGCTCGCCTGGGCATCGTTTGTGGATGGGCTGGTGGGGTAGTTTCCGTCGCGGCCGCAGGCTGGTGGGGATACTTTTTGGTTCGCGGCTGCGGGCACAACGTCCGGGGCGCGGTACGAAGATAATTGGCGCGAGATTGCCGCAGACTCCAGCGGACAACACACGCAGTGGCGCATGCACATGCCAGGGACAAAATGCCCCTCATTGAGACGCACTTCAGCGTCTGCAGGTGACCGGCCCAGACAGCCTGGCTGGTGGGGAAGCAAAAGGCGCGGCAACCGGCAACGGAACGGAGGGGAGAAGTCGCCCTTGCGGCGCCAAGCTCCAGCCGAACCGCAAAAGCGAGGCCAAGACGAACAGCGAGGCACTGTAAAGGCCACAGGCGGAACGCGAGCCCGAGAGGCCAAAGACCAGGCGGAGCCCACGTGTGTGCACACAGAGCCAGGCCGTCCAAGACCTCGGAAAAAGGGGGGCGGGCGCGAGCGAGAGCAACTAACTCAGATTCACTGTAGCTCCACGAGCATACGATGGTGCGGCGAGGGAGACCCGACTCACCAAGGCTCACTGAAGCTGAAGTGTGGCTGATCCGCGTCAGAGCGCCATCCAGTAGAGGCAGACCACTGGTGTGCGCTCACGAGGCTGAGCAGCCTCTAGCCGGTAGCCTGTGCGCTCACATCATATCCGAATCACGCTGCTCGGGGGCACAACGACGCAATGCACTGACAAGGGCTGGTGGCTGTGGCTGCGCCGAAATGAGTGAAACGAACACGAACTGCAGAAGGCTGAACCACTCAGCTGGTGGGGATACTTTTTTGATTCGCGGCCCGCAAGGAGAAGTCCAGAGGGCGGTATGACCGAGGCTGGGGCTGGTGGGGATACGCGAAGCGTCAAGAATCAGAACACGACAACGACATGGATCACCATAGTCGGTCCACGCTGGAGGCGCTTCCCGTCATCCGCCTCCGTGGCACGTGAGGCGTGGCAGAGTGTGCGCTGGTTTCTGTGATCCTCTCACGGGCCCCGCCCCCCTCTACTGGCAACACAGTTGCGTGACCCCCCCTCCCTCCCGAGGCCTCTGAGGCGCCCCGACGATGCCTCCCTGGCGCTCTCCGAGACGCCCTCGAGGCCCACGATTGCTCCCGAAGACGGTCAAGGCAAGGCACCAAGACCGCCCAAATGGCCAGGAGACCTCCAGGGCAGCCCAAGATGTTCGGGCCGAAGATGAAGACGATTTAAGATGCCTCCAAGAGAGCTCAAGAGGGCCACAAGAAGACCACCACCAGGGCCCGAGTAAACCAAATCCTTTGATTGTCCACATGCATTTGTTAACTGTTTATATTCTCTGCCCACTCTGGGCATCTGTCAGATGAAGACGGCCCACGAAGCCTCGAAGATGGGCCCGAGATGCCTCCAAGAGGGCCCCTGGACGGCCCCAGAGGACCACATGATGGCCCACAGGGCTTCCAAGACTGTCCCAAGACATCCCAAGGGTGCCGCTGGAGAGACCTACGACGGCTCTAGAAGACCCCTCGACGGCCCACAACGGCGCCGAGACGGCCCCACGACGGCTCCGAGAAAGATGTCGCAAAGAGAAGCCAAGACAGCCCAAGTGAGCTCCATGAGGGATCCTCAAAACGTGAAGGCGAAAAGTGACACACGTGACGGCCTTCCTCTTCCTCCTCCTCTCTTCTTCTTCCCCCTATCCTCCCTCATCACGGTCCTCTCCGGCTTGGGGGCACGAGGTGTCACACGTGACGGCCTCCCGTGCCTCCGAAGCTTCCCTCTCGCCATGGGCGGCAAGGATGGCAGCTGGACGGAACCCCCAGACACCGTGGCGGACGAGCGCGGGGAGCAATCGTACCCCTCGATGGCCAGGGGCGCCCTGGGCCGGCCAGCAGCAGCGCCAGCCCGAGCCCCGACTCGAAGCGGACCCTCCTTCCCAGCAGGGGCGACGGAGGCCGGCAAGAGGTCGGCGCTCGCGCTGCGAAAACAGTGCGGGGGCCGCAGGAACCCTCGAGGGCCGGGCGGTCTGCGTGCACTGTGGAGCTGGACCTGGAGCAGGCGCCCGCGTGGGGTCTTCCAGACAGCTTCGGTGCTTCGGCAACGGTCACCTGTGCAGAAGAAGAAACAGCGGCATACACACAAACTTTTGGCGCTCCGCGCGGGTCTCTTGGATCCGCGCTGGGCCCCCGCGCCGCGGAACGCCAAAAGTGAATGTTCATGGCGTTGTGTCTTCCTCGGCTGGAGCAGGCGCCCGCGTGAAGGTCTTTCAGTCGGCTTCGGTACTTCGGTGAGGAGGGCCCGCGGCCGTCGCTTCCTCTTCGTCCTCGTGGCTCCTCGTGCTCGCCTGGCCCATGCCGGGGGTCGGAGAGGGCGGGGGCCCGCCTCCCTGCCGCTGGGCTCTGCGCAGACGGGCTGCGGACGATTGTCACCCTGGCCAGGAAGTGCGGTGACAAGGAGGGCCTCGCTAAATACCATAGGACGCACATAACCATACTAATACTGCGCGTCCGCCTTGGAGGCGTGCATCCTGTAACCTATAGTTTCTCGAGCGGTACGGCCAGAACGTGCCATGCACTCAGCTTATACTATAAGATTTCTCGGTGCGCGCGTCGTCCCTGGGGGGCGACGCGCACATAGTACTCGTATGATGAGATGACGTCGATACCAGTCCGCCCCCGCGTCGGTCGAGCCAAAGCCTGCGGTCGTGGAGCCCCCCATCCACAGCGGACATGTCAGGCCCACGCAGAGGTCTTGTAGTGGGAGCGTCGCACGGGCCAAGAGGTGGCCAAACTCGAGAAAGCATGGCAGTTCTTGGCATCACGACAGGGGCCGCTGGCACTGGTCAAATCTGAGCTCGACAAGGCAGGCAGCGAGAACACAGAGGTTGCCAAGCATGGCAATTCTTGGCACCACAACAGGTGTAGCTCGCACTGGTCAAATCTGAGCTCGGCAAGGCAGGCAACGAGAACGCAGGGGTTGCCAGGGAGCTTGCTGGTGACGTCATCACAATATTGCCAGATGGGTCGGCCATCGGCACATCAGCATCTAGGCGCCCGTTCCTCGCACTATGGAAGCGATCGGCTTCTTAACATGGGCATCGTCTTCGAGATCGACGACTTGGCACACGAGCTGTCCACGGGGGATGCGAGAGAGCTGGCGTCGAGGTGGGAGGGCCTCCACACCCAGCTTCGCGACACTTGGCCACTGCCCTGTCTCGCTGGCGCAAATGGAGAAGGCCGCCGCCCACAAGGCAGCCCACGCCGATCACTCGCGTGATCCGCCCCTTGATCGAAGAAGAGTCGACAGTCGGGGCTTGGCCGAACCGCAAGATGCCTCCACGACGACCCCAGAGGCAACCAAGACGGCCCAAGATGGCCTCCAGACTGTTCAGTGTGGCCCCAAACGGGCCTCAGATGGCGCAGAAGCGCCCCCAAGGAGGCCCCCAGGCCACCACTGGGGAGGAGGAAGCCCCACGGACAAGTCCGCGACGGCCGCTGGCGCTCCTCCAGCTGCCCGCGCCCGCGTTGCTCCGCGTCTTCGACTGGCGGCGCAGAGGCCAACAGCGGAACCCACAGTCCGGTGCCAGCATCGAGCGACGATGCCCCCGACCGTGAAGCAGCCGAGGTGCGTGACCCTTGTGAGCGCGCACCTGCCCGAGGCGCACACTGCACTATGGTCCCGCCTCTTCCAGCGCAGCCTGGGGAATCGGGCG